TTTATGTGTTTTTTACAAATAATTCCATGTCTTGATATCTCGTAAAATTCAATACAATTTATATTTAATGTATATAACCACATCATATTCAATGTCCAACTCTGACCGATGCCTGAACTGTGGCCACTTAATTATCGGTAGTCAACCCGATTGGCGACCTGTGTTCGTTGTGTTCACATTTGATTCCCGTTATAATTAATGTCGTGATAACTGCTCTAAACTGTTGTCGGATAACCAATAGTGAACAGCAATAACCAAATCATAACTTCAAACATATCTATTGTAAGAATATTTTCATTCCAAAAATATGCTTATTTTTGGTAAATAATTTTGAGCTAAATTTTAGAAAATAATCTCGACTGACACATTTAAATAATTTTCATGTCCAATTATCGACCAATTAAAGACCAATTATCCGATCTTTATGAAACTTGGTTTTCGGTGCTTAGGAATGTTAACTTATATTACAAAATTAATTTAACTATCCTAGCTACACTACAGAGGTTTATAAAATGAGTATATGGGCACTTTTCTAATTAATTTTCTCAGCAATTACTAATATTAATTAATTGATTTTTGCGTCGAATGATAGTCCAAACGTTTATGTATTTTATAAATCAGTCTAAACCATGGTTAAATAATTTGTTAATTTTATTTTGTAAATATTCTTTTTGATCAACTTTTCAAACATTTAAAGCCCATGTTATATGCCCATAGAGATTTGAATACTGTTAATTTTAGCATTTTCAAGATTCTAAATTAGCCCTAAATTTGTTATATATGATTGTTATAAATTGATTCTAGCTTAAATTTTGTAGATATATGATATATTAATAATTTATATGCAAATTCGCATCAAATGGAACTTTGGTTTTATAATTATCTACATCTTTGGCCAGTTTGTCCGTAAAAGATCACAAATGGTATACTAAAGGTTCGGGTCAATTGCTGGCCAACCAGTAATTGTATTTTTATTAATAATTATATCAATCAAGAGATGGTTATATGATGTTCAAAATGATATATATAAAGATTGTCTATCATACATATTTACAGAGAAAATTAATTAGAAAAGTGCCCATAAACTCATTTTATAAACCTCTGTAGAAGTGCCGTAGGACTAACATAAGACTAACATAATCTTATATCAGGTGATCCAATATTTATTCGGTTTTAATAATAATTTTCTTTGTTATTAATCTTATTTAGTTTGTGTGCCAATAGACTACAAACATTATTTCTGTAGACTTAGCATTACTTATGTTACACCTATATCACAGACTTACACTATAATCTTATAGAAATACATTGTAAAGCATTAGTCCCATAGATTTTATATTATCCATAAGCTAAACATTACCCATAGACTTAATATTACCCATAGACTTAGCATTGCCTATATTAAATTTATGTCGTAGACTTAAGCTGTAATCACATAGAAACTAATGTTAAATCATTCTTCCATAGACTTAACGTCAGTCCCATATAATTAACATGGAGAAAAACTACCATTTCCCATCATATTTCGTTTTTTCATAGAAAATAACCTCCTATAGAATTAGCATTACCCATAGGATTCTATTAGCTCATGTTAAGTCCATTAAAAAAGCCCCATAAGATTAGCATTAACCATGTTAAGTCTGTCGTAGAATTAACATGCAATCCCATGTTTATTCCCATAAGGTGAGGGGGTCGGGGAGGGGTAACCGAACAATCCTATAAACCACAATATTAATATCTGAATTGTTGTTAAAAATCTGTTGTGAACCGAGTGTTGTTTAGTCTGATATTACTTATGTCAATAGCGGTTACCAAATTTTTATTTCATTTGTAGTCTAACAATGGAGGGCCACATGCTGAGATAACTGGATTTAGACAAAATTTACATTTTCTGTTAGTATGCGGCAAAAAAAATTATACGTATTTTTTTGTTTGGGCTGATACTGATTTCATATCAATAGCGCAAAATCTATCGGGCATCTGTTCGCATAAAAACCTGTTTCAAATGTAAACAAACTATGTTTCAACATATAAAACCATATTTTATGGTTCTTGTTGTGGAATTATGCTAGTAAAATTCACATTTGTACAATAGAAAAAGCAAATGTTATTTAAATTTAGAAATTAGTACATATAAATATTCTTGTGACTACCAAGTGAAAATTTATTTAACCTTCTGGCACAACAGATCCTAGACTTTCCGTTATTTGATTTTCAAACTCTCGGTAAAAATCAGCCTTAGATATCAGTGCCGAAAAATTCCAGGAATGCCTCAATCAAACATTTGAGCAAATAATGAATTAACCAAAACTTTATGATCATATCTGGTGTCCGAGTAATTGAATTTTAAAGAGAGGTCACTTCAAAAAGTCTACCAGTGTTGTAGACATGTAATTTTTATCGCTCTTAACAAATCAGTGCTTTTTCTGTAAAGCGGAGCTGTGAATGCAGTGTCATATCTCTTCCAAGCACTACCTCTCCACTTCATTGTATTAACTTTGTGAAAACGATGTGAAAACTCAAGTTACGTGGGTACAAAGCTATGCATAGCGTACCCTCCGCTTCACTATCGCTCTGTGCTATTAGTGCGCAAACGCTACTACACATGACTCCATAGAGTTATAGCAGCAGTAAATTGTTACAGGCATACAACACTGGAACGAAAACGTTCCGACGCAGGTACTGCCACCGCTATGCATTGAGTGCTTGGATTATTATTGAGTATTGGAGTTTACAATATAGATGTACTAAAATACTCTACATACGTATGTTTTAGAGTTTTTGAAAATAACCTAATATCTAACGTGTATAATATATCTATGCATATCTGTCGATTGAAAAAAACTAATGCAATGTAAGCTATGAAACAAAATTTAGTAGACTTACGTTATGTTTTATATGTTTGAGAGTTATTATAAAATAAACTAATATTTACTGTGTTTAATATATCTATGAATGTCTGTAAATTGAAAAAACTAATGCAATGTAAGCTATGAAACAAATACAGTACACGCACGTTATGTTTCATATTTGTCAATAGATGTGGTTTTGTATTAGCAGTGAATGATGTGAATTACATATATATCTAATGGTTGGCGTAATAATTAATATGGACAATTATCATTTAGCTATACGTTTAAAAATGAATCAGTAAATTGTTAATATGTGAACAAAAATATTAATAAACTGACCATGATGCAATTATTGAATTTATTATTGTTAAACATTTTGTAGCCCTTCATTGGCGTACCTGAGTTATAGTGACTACCAGGCAAGAAAGGAGAATGTAAAATATTCTATGTTAATTTGGCTAAAAAATAATTTTTGTTTAACCCTCGAGAAAAAAGTTGTCTAAATTGTATCTTGGCCGATTATTGGATCAAAGTTAATTTAATGCGATATTTTTTATTATACTAAACATATTTTAAATTTGAATGCAAATAATACACACCAGATGACAATCTGGCCTCGAATTCGGCCATAGTGGCCACTATTTTCGGTAAATATAAACCTATTGAAAATTAACATATGATATATGAAATCAATGTTTTTGAAACATATGAAATATTTTTTGAGTAATATAACTTTAAATTACTTCCTATGTAAAGTGTAATGTGATTTAATGTGACGTTATATTAATGTGATTTTAAAAAATGAATGACATTTTTGATATTTTAAAATATGTTCCAAAGAATATTAGACAAAATATTACAAAATTACATGTATTTAGTGATTATTATAGTAATAACGAGAAGAACAAATTATTTGTGAAAACTATGATGTAGTCTATGGTTATGGTAAAAATAGTGCGGCGTGTTTGGGTTTGGGACACAATGATAAAAAATCATCGCCAAAAGTTATACCAGAATTATGTAATCAAAACATACAATACTTTGTCAATGGAAAGTATTTTGTGTTAGCAGTGAATTATAGGAATGTGATATACATTTGGGGCATAAATCACTGTGGTCAATTGGCAAAGGGTGACACAAACGATTACAATGATTTTTTTAGGTCAATAAAAATAAAGTATTTTCGATATAAAACTATTGTTCAAATCAGTTGTGGTTCATATCACACATTGGTTTTCACCGGCGATGGCCAGGTGTATACCTGGGGTGGCGAAGATCATGGTCAATTTGGCTGTAAAACTAATCAGAATAAATATATGTGTTCACCAATTGAAATAGAATTTGGTAGTACAGTCGAACATGGATATAATATACAGGTGAAATTTTCAAAAAGTGGGGATAATAATGAAAAGTTGATTATAATGAGACTAATTTAACATTGTGTGAATGAATAATGATTTCAAAATGTGGGAATAGTAATGATTTGGGGATACTATTGAGTGTATATTATATCCATTCTCGACTGTAATTATAAAACACAATCCGTGTATTGTTGTTATTACTCTTCGTTTGCCATCACATCCGACGGACATGTCTTCAGTTTGGATGGAAATTCTTACGACGATTTGGGAATCGATATACCAGACGATGAAGTAATAAAACCCCGATTGATGTCAACCATAAGTGGTTTGAAAACAATCAGTTTTACAGAATGTTGTGCTTATTTTCACACAACAAATCATTTATATTTTTGTGGAAAATATTATGAAAATAAGAAAAAAATGTTTCAAAACACTCCGAAACAAATATTATGTGAATATAATTTTCAAGAATTACAACAAATTCATTCGTGGATTAAAAAATCAAATAATACATCAATTAATGTTTTAATTAACAATAAAATCTATGAGATATCAAATGAACACAAAATAATTGAAACAAATTATGGTAACTTTATTGAGTTTTACGCCAATAAATATGAATTGACTTATAATACAATTGATTTGAAAGAAATCAATGAAAAAACAATATTAACATCAAATGAAAGTGAAAATAAAACTCGTGATAATTTAAATGACAAATCAAGTGATGGTAATAATGAAACACAAATCGAGGACTTAATACAACCAATGGCCAGTCATAGCATAGATGGATGTACTGTCGGATCAGAAGATAGTGGTAAATTTATTACAATCTTATTTTTAATTGTCAAAAGTTTAATATATTATTATTATCCAAACTATAGCGTGCTTTACAGATAATAACACAGAATTATACCAAAACTTTTACTCGGATCAGTTTGAAGAGTTATCACTGATAGGTAGGGGTGGGTTCGGCACAGTGTATAAAGTGAGACATAAATTAGACGGTGAAGTGTACGCCATTAAAATTGTCAATTTTCGAGGTAAATCTATCACATTGTATTATCATTTATACATTATTGAAATTTTATTATATGTTTTTAGTGACAAATAATGATTACAAACAGCGAGTATTAAATGAAGTGAAATGTTTGGCAAAAGTGCGCTCACAATATGTGGTACAGTTAGGGTGACCAACCGTCCTCTATTACAGAGGATTGTCCTCTATTTGGATACTGTACTTTAAAAATTTACTATGAAAAACAATGTTAAAACTTGTGTCCTCTATTTATCATAAATTATTATTGTATGTTTCCCTGTATGTCCTCTAAAACTCTTTGTAATGTCCTCTTTACCCAAAATGAAAGTTGGTCACCCTAGGTACAGTATCACAACTCATGGCTCGACAACAATAGCACTCAACTGTACATTCAGATGGAGTATTGCCCGCAAAGTCTACGCAAAGTACTGTCGGCCAAAGCGCTGGCATTTGGCAGACAATCGTGTGAACCGATAAAACCATTAGAATATTTTATTTGGTGTGAAATATTCAAAGAGCTCTTAGAATGCGTGCAGTATTTGCATAAAAGTAGACCTCAGATAATACATCGCGATCTCAATCCGGACAACATATTAGTAATTGAAAATACAACTTGTGATAATAATAACCACCGGTTCATTAAACTGTGTGACTTTGGTCTGGCTACTTTGCACGACCCGGAGCTACACTATAGGACTAAGGATAAGCATACGGGCGATGTCGGGACAGTACGGTACCAAGCACCCGAAATAGCAAATAAAAATTATGGTCATAAATCTGATATGTATAGCTTGGCTATAGTAGGGGGCGAGTTGTTTGATCTGGATTTATATTCAAGGTATTATTACATAATTTAATATTTGTGTTCAGTTTAAACTATAATTATTTAATTTCTATATTTCATGTAGAAAATTAGCCACATATCCGAACGATCACGTGCTAAACGGACCGGTAGTTTGTTTGCATCGTATGTTGCAGTCAATGATGTCGACTCCCATATGGGATGATAGGCCTGAGTGTCGTGAAGTGTTGGCCAAACATAACGAGTGGTCTATCGATAAGAATGTTATCGCGAATCACAAGGAATTCATTTCAGTGTTAAATACACTTAAATCTAATGTTAATTCAGTTTTCTATGAGATTATGTTTCGCAAAACACTATAATATATAACTTATCAGTAAATTTAAATGTCAATTACTCATCACTCCAAACCTCTAATTGATTTAATTATCTATTTATTTATAAAATCAAAGATAAAAATTAATATTTATTGTAATGTATTTTTTTTTTTGAATATCAATTCCGAATAATTATAATTCAAATTAAAACAAATAAATTACACAAAACAATGTAACATTTAATTCAATACTGAATGTAAAAGGGCAGCAATAATAATATTACATTTAAAAAACGTTTAAAATTAGCAAAATATTAATTAATTTAACAATAAATTTCTTAAAACAGATCGATATCAACAAATTATATATGCTTTGAATATATACAGTATTTATCATTATGTCTATGTTTGTGATTTAAAAATTTTAAATTAGAATAATTTGCAAATTACTATAATGTTTGTGAATCCAGGACTTTAAGCATCATATTTTCAATCCAGTTTAAGTTTTTCTATTTTCAGTTCAAGTGTGGCTTTTATTTTGGGCGGACAGTGAACGGCAATGCCGTCGACTGACACACGACTACCCGTCCGCTCACCACAAATGAATACAGCGGTCAAAGCCCTGCCGTAGACACAGCCGGTGTCCAAACCGGTGGCGAATTGAGTCAATTGTAGGTTCCGTTTGGAGTCGTGTCCGAAGTAGATGTGTTGCGGACCCGACCATCTGTTCACCCACTCCTCACCCATCGTATCCCTAACTGTGGCCCGAAGTATATTGTGGTCATCGGTATAGACATTGCGCATACGGACCATATCGTTGACACTTTGATTAGCGAGTTTCTGGTTGGGAACAACACCCGCGTGAACTACCAGTGCGTTAAGAGTGGGTATACTTATAGTGTACGGCATACCAATCAAATACTGGACATGATTTTGTGACAACTCTTGCATCCATAGATTTTTTTGTTTAATTTTGCCGCTATTTTTGTACTTCAGATACGCGGCGATCACTATTTCGTCGTGATTTCCCCGAACCGAACGACACGTATCATTATTTTGGATCAAATAGTCCAACACTTGGATATTCTTCGGCCCCTTATTCACCAAATCGCCCACAAATAGCTTCAGAACGCGATTGTTGTCCGCATTCTTCCGGTTACAAATCGTGCGCTTATTATTGACAGCACTGTTATTCTTGTTGTGGATTTGATCCAAGAGTTGTATCAACTCGTCATAACATCCGTGAACGTCGCCAATCACCACAACCTCTTTGAATCGTTTGATAAACTGTTTGTTGAGTATTTGGTGTCGTATCGGCGGTGAGTGACTACACGTGGCCAACGGGTTTTTGGTGTAATTTTTGTTGTCAATCATATTTTGATAAATTGTTATCAGTTAATATAAGAATGCGTTGAATTATAATGTTATCTAACAATGTTTACGATAATTATTAAATTATTAACGAAATGTTTCAAACACTTTATTTTTAGTTTTACTTTTGGTTGAGTTTTAATACTTTTAATTCAAACTTATTTTAAATATGATAACTAATCATACATGTATGATTGTCACGTACATTACTATTACACTTTTAATCAAATAATATTTATTTCAAGCAAATAAATCTTGTCTGACGTTAATTTGCAATATCTTATTCAAATACCGATACACTTATAATGAAAAATAAATTGTCAATTATTTACAACATTAATCAAAAAATAAACTAATTGTGTTAAACAAACATAAAACTTGTTGATTAAATACCACTAATGTTTATCATCACTGATTTAAATAGCAATACTGTAAAAGAATGCGTTGAATTATAATGATATCTAACAAGGTTGTGAGTATCCAAAGTTCTAGCTCTTTATATGCAATATTTTCTTATCAACAAATTTAATGTTAATAAAGACATAAATATACAGATTATGTAATTATAATTGATTTATATAATTTGTGTGGCCGGGGCAAGGAAATGTTGCCGCAAAATATCCGTAACAAAAGTTTACATAATATATGGTTATTATTAGATACCAATTGTAGACAGAATTTTGTTTCCTTACATTTTGTCATTTTCTGTGTTTACGTTTAATTTAGTATATCTTTCACTTCAAAAATGCTGATTCGGCCGACTATTTGATTGACACAAATGTTTTATTATCTAGATAAGTTATAAACGTTTGTATTGTGTATTGCATTACAAGAGTAGTATTGAATATCTGACCGAAACGGACACTTTGGCGATGTGTGGGAATACATCCCTCCCGTTGTCACTCATTTTAGGTACTTTTATAAGATATAACTCGCCGTCTGGTGTGACGACAGGCTATCCATCCATCATAAAGTATTTTATCACTTATTAAACTCTATTAATTAAGAATAAATGTAAATAACTATGAATTAAACATAATGTAATTATTGAGTTAATACATACTAACTATGTATTGAATGGTATGATAATATTTGTAGTCGAAGTCAATACATTAAAAATGTATAAATTGTTTTGCGAATCGTTATGAAGTAATCCATTGCTGGAAATCCAGGTGCCATTAAAGAGGCGGTCACTTAATTCAGCCGACATATAGTCATTGAAAGTGATGCCCCGTTTGAACGACTGTGTGATTGGCTTTTGATCGGTAATAATGTCCCCAAAAGTGTGTCCATCAGATACTTTGCGCAAAGTATTGTTATACATGTGAATTGTGGACACGATTTGTTTCATTTGGATCTCAATTTTTGCGTTCTCGCCGTCAGTATCGATGATCTCGTCGTAAAATATAGCGAACGCCACAAACGCTATACTTATGCACATTAAGGCCATCATCGATAGGACTCACAAATAGCGACACTTTTTCTGTACATAAAATGATACTATAATACCGATTTGTTATTAAAAGTTTATTTTATAATAATAATTATAATAATAGTTACAATTAGCTTTGAATCGTTTATGATTGGGTTCATTGTACCATAAAATATGATAGCTTTAAAAATACTGAATTAGAAAATGAATAGGAATTTCAATTCAATTATCATTTTACTGCTTAATTAAAACTTATACATAATGTACAAAACTTATCTACATTTTAATGGCGTATAAAACCATCAATATATAAGTTGTAGATATAAAGGGTGATAGAAATGAGACAATCAAATGGTTAGGGATAGGAATCTAAGAACTCACCAATTGGTGTCGGCACAGGTGTGTTGTCGTTGTAGTCAATCCATTGCCGGTGTTGTCAACGGAATCGTTACTGTTATTCACGCCATAAGTGCTGTTCATATTTCGACTCCAAGTGATCGACACATTAATTATTTATTCAAATATTTAATTAATTATCTATTTTTCAATAAATAGTTAGGAATAGTAATATAGAAATAATTTTTGCTACCCAGATGTTTGTTTTAATTTTATTAACTTTCTTAATACTGTAGTAATTTATACAAATGTGTATATTTTTTGTACTAATTTAAAATTATAAATAAAATCAATGATATCTATTGTGAGCGCAAAATTTTTGCGACGTTATATAAACATTTGTAACGTATACTACAGCACAGCACAGCACTACTACAGCACTACATTTACATGGCTCACAGCCACTGTAGTAGTGCTGTAGTCG